GACATAGTTCACATAAATTTTATATTACGTATGTAATATTATTATACATACATTTATTTATGATAAAATTAATTACAATATTAATGCGTATACATACTTCGTATAAGTATAGAATTTTATAAGATATTAAGTTTAATTTCAGGAAAGCTGAAAATTCAATGAAATTTAAAATTATATATAATATATAATCATATTTGACAATTGGATTGTTGACAATTAAATAAAATTTAAGATTAATTTAAAATTTTATTTAATTTTTAATCTTTTCTTTGCAATTATCAAGTACGTACACATGATGTTTATGTATCCTTATCTACATATTATATAATTTATTAGTTAGATTTATTATATAATATTTTTTTAGTTTAATTATATTTATTTTTTAAAATAAAATTTAATTATCCGCTCGCGAAATCTATTTAAGTGTCATTTTATTTATAATAATTTAATTTTTCAATTTATCTACATTCATTGTCTTTACCTATACAGTCCCTACCTATCCATATACTTGTCCTACCTATCCGTATTTTCATTTATTCGTGCCTATTCGCGTATCCTATCTCTGTTCATATATTTCTACTTCCTACATTACTTCATTAACGTGTAACACCGCGAATATAATACGTTAATGATTGTGTTCAGCAGAGAGCAGCTTTGCAAATGTTGTAAAATTCTTCAATACGATTGGTTCTTGCTTTAAGTTTTAATGAATTTAAATGAATTAATGATATTAAATCAAATTTTACAATAATTGCAAAACTGCTTTCTTTGCTGAATGCAGCAGCTAATGCCTAACCATGTCTTATCGTGTACTGATAAATTCAGAGAGATTACCTAATTGCGATCGTATTAAATAAATGAACAAGAAATGATAATAATTAAAATAGACTTTTAATTTTTAAAATACAAAAAATTAATAAATAACAGAGTTAATGAGAGCCATTGCGGGTAATGAAATGTAACTAGAATTTGTAGATTAAAAAAAACCTACAAAACTTGCGCTTCATTATCTGCACTAGCTCTCATTAGCCCTGTTATTTGTTAGTTATTGTATTTTAAATCAACAATATAAGAACTCGCAATTTGCGAGTAAGTTGCCCTCCCGAATATTCAGAATTTATTTTTATATATATATGTCTTTCAAAAAATTAGATTGGTGTTACACACCCACTTCGTTCAGATCTTCGTCTTTTTTCTGGCCAATATTCTGGCTTAATATGCCAAAGATCGACAGCAAGGAGAAATATTCCTTTTTGCTGCCGACTAAAAGCGACTAAATTTTACGCCTTTGTATGATGCGCGAAACACGAACGCGTCGCGAAGGGGCCACCATATTAATCAAATTGATTAAATATTAATTATCAATAATAATAATTTTATTAATACATGTGTGTGAATAAATTTATTCTTTATTCGTGTCTAAACTAAAAATATAAATATTTGACTAAAAATAAATCTAAAAATAAATTTAAAAAAATCTCTATGAGGGATATTTTCAACATTTTGATTTTATAAATCTCAAATATTGTGAAAAATTAGATCAAATTTCTTAATATAAATTTTACACAATATAAACAACAAAACTTCAAATTAAATATAAATCGGAAATTACTAAATCGATTACTATCCCATAAAATTTAAGGCCCATGTACGTATTCTTAACGATTCGAACGATTCGTTGCCGAATCTCATCTCAAAACATGCAGAGAGATAAGAAATTCAGATAAATGATGTAAGATCCAAAAGGGAGATAATTTTCCCTTACATTGATAAATATCGTATATCGTTTATGTTTTAAATTAATACAATCATTTTCTGCATAATTTATTATTTCAAAATTAAGTATTTTAAAAGATGCAAAATTCCGAACACGATTTTTTAAAATAATTCAAGATAAAATTCTTTTATTTCTTGACACAATTCTATACTGGATCTTACATCATGTTACTATTTTGACTGGTATAAAATCCAGTTACTACATATGGATAAGTTATAAAAGTTTAGGCTAAAGTAAGTGCAATTTAGGTAAATTAT